CAGAGAGCTAGACGCAATGGTTGAAGCCCTTGGAGAGACAGTGCGGAAATACACCGACCAACTCCTCAAGGAAGCCCGAGCAAGCAACGAATCTATAAGAGACTGCACGAAGCAACTCGTCAAAGAAGGTGATAACTTCAGAAATGAGATCTCTCGCTGCATCTCTAAAATGAAATGGGCCACAGAGATGGATATCAACAATGCCTCTGTGAATGCTGAGGTGGTCATTCAAAAGATGGAGAAGGCGACCTCCAAAGTTTTAAAGCGATTGAAGAAGGCTCCCCTTACTACTTGCAAGACATAGGCCACTAAAATCCATGACGATCAAGGAGGCGATGACCATGATCGTCATGAGGGGGAGAAGAAGACAGAGGAACAAAAGAAGACAACCTCTGCCAAACCACAAAAAATAGTGGACTCTGTAGCTGCCCTATTCTCAAAAGACAAATCTCAAGAGCCTAAGGGGGAAAGGCAAGGGTAAAGCAGTAGAGGAGTCGCCACAGAAGGGGTCAAGCTCTGAAACATCTGAGGAGATTAATGAAGAAGAGTATAATGACCCAGATATTGTTCGAGCACTAAAGGCGTATTTGGCAGAGGCACAGGCGAGAAAGGGCAGAGTCCCCATCCCCAAAGTTGGAGAAGGCTCTTCTTCCAAACTCATGAAGATACCAGAAGAAACGTCCACGGGTACGTTTGACGCTCTAGTAGGAATTCTCAAGCCTATCCTACCAGAGGGGTCTACCCAGAGGCCTATACTAGAAGAAGAATCCAGAACGCCAGAATCTGTCACGGTGGGGAGGGTATATGAGATCCTTGAATCTATGAGCAAGATTCCAACGCAGAAGGTGCGCACAGAGCCCGTAACCACTGTTGAGGAGATTCTGCGGTGGCGTTACTCAGCCATGGACACAGAGCCCCCTTATGACCCAGAGCTTACAGGAATTCCCTCTGCCATTGCAAAGTTCCACTTCTCGAAATTCACAAGACCACTAGAGCAGGTCTTCTCAGAGCATGTGATCACTTCTCTCGAAACCATATCTCCGCGCACAATGCTAAAGAAGACCGTGCTATATACTCAGTATGTGGTAAAAAGGGATGACAGCAACCTATATACTTTCACAGATGCCGACCTCCACAACCTCTGTGTATTTGATCTAATATTCCTTCACAAGATCTTGAACAAATACATGGAGAGGAGGTCAACATATTCGATTTCTCTCAGAAGGCTGATTGAGGTAATACGCGCTCAAGTCAAGTTCTACAGCCAGAAAGATTTCAACATTGCTATGAGGTTGGCCCAGCCAGAGCTAAAAATTTCTCCTCCAAAGAACAGACCAAGTTGGCTTCTTAGATTTCATCCCAACACCATTGTCCACAATCCCATCTTTGGGTTTGTGTTCTTGGACAAGAATGAGATTCTAAGGTTCTTCGATCCCAAAGAGACGCACAAATATTCAACAGAGTCTCTTGAGTGGGTGTTCAACCTAGTGGTGACAGAGGTGCAGAGAGGGCATATAAAGGCGGATGAAGTGAACAACCTTCTGGAAACGATCAAGGTTCAAGTCTCCTTCAGAGAATGGATATTCAAAGTCTACAAAACCATCAAGTCAGATCTGTAATTTGCCGTAGATGACTATCCAGACTCTGTTGTGGATTAATCTCTTGTAATAGTATAGGCCTGCTCAATATTTTCAATTTGTTCATTTATGTAATTCTTTTTCAGAGGATGAGTTTAATCTCCTCTTGTATTCTTTCATAAGTCAATTCTTGCACCCATTTGTCCAAATTTACTTTTTCATACTTAGGGGGAGATTGTTAGCTCTATTATTCACTTCTTGTAAAAGTATGAAAAAGTATTCTGCAAGTCTTGACAGAAGCATATCTTCCACAGAAGACAACAGAGGACTAACGACAAAAGTCTTATATTCGAGCAAGTAAAGTGTGACAGAACCTCTGATGTCTCTCACAGAGGTTCTGGAAAATGGTCCTCTGTCAATAAGAACATGCAAGTAAATTACAGCAGAACCTCTGAGATGGCTCACAGAGGGTTTGTGGCCTTCGTCTTCTGTGAAGATCCTCTTCCAACTGTTTTTCAATGGTTATTAGTNATAAGATGAACATATTTAAATCTTCATGTCAATATTAGATGAAGATCAATTTGAGATATTGTAGGATTTGTAACTCCCAATTAAAATATTTGGGAGTTACATAAGAATGACTAATGACCTAAATACCCTTATCATTAATRYGTAAGTTACATTTTAACCAAACCCAAAGATGCAACATTATTGGTTGATGTGAGTTTGCACAAAATATTGGGTTAGTATTTGAACCACTCTCTATATATGTATATGTATATATATATATATATGTATATGTATATATATATATGTATATGTATATGTATGAATGAACGAGTCCATTGTTAATGTTCGTTAATTTAATTAAACAAACAAAAAATGTGTTTATATTCATTCGTTAATTAAATAAATGAACTTTTTACTGAACAATTTATGAATAGTTTGCTCGAATGTTCAATTTATTTACAACCTTGAACATAATACTTTGTTTCTTTAAACCCACTTTTACATCATAAAAACCACAATATAAAAGTGTTGGGTTATATTTCTTTTCATCCCCAAGTATTTGAATAATAACAAAGTAGTTAAAAAATCAAAAGGGTGGTGCATGATTGCTTTGAGTTTGGACTCCAAATATTAAAAGTGTTTAGAGGTCTCATGTTCAAATACAAGAAGAAATAAAAATCCCCTTATGGTCAAAGAGGTTGAAATGCGGCGACTCGGAACTACCTGTAAAATAGATGGTCGCCCTGAGATTAGTAGGCTTACATAACAAGTTGAATATCCAGATTAATAAAAAAAACAGTTAAATAAAATATTGATTAGTCAATATATTGATGTGATTAATTTATAGACGAAATGAAACCCACATGAAATTAAATGGCAGTTGGACACTTGGACTTCAAGCCCTTATGCTTTCAAATTGTTTCGGCCCAATAAAATGACTTGGCAGGTGGCAATTTAGAGATGGCCAAAATCCGATCTCGGGCCGGTCCTTAACCTGTTCCTACCTGTCTTAATTAAGACAAAAACCGGCGGTAACCGGTCCTGCCATAAACGGTCCCGGTTCCGATGAAATACCTTGTAACCGGTCAAGCTTACCGGTAACCGGTTAAGGAATCCGGTCCCATAACCGGTCCCATCCGGTCCTGGCAAAAAAGATACTTTTTTTTCAAATTTTTGTTTATTAATAAATTTTTAATATGTTATTAATATGTTTGTAATATGTTATTTTTAATATGTTTAAAAATATGTTTTATTATATATATATATATATGTATGTGTGTGTGTACATATATACTTTTAATTTTATAAATACGTTTTGTTATATATATACACGTTGACTTTTGTTGACCGGGCCGGGCCGGTCCTATAACCGGTTACATAACCGGTTCCGGTTTTAACCGGTCTCGGTCCTAGAAAACGTTAAAATCCATAACCGTTTCATAACCGGCGGTCCACAACCGGTCCATACCGGTTCCGGTCCCGGTTCCGGTACTCCGGCGGTTACGAGCCAGGCCGGGCCCATTTGACAATCTCTAGTTGGCATAATCAATGTCTCCACCGGACCAACCTTAGTAGAGAACTAGAGATTTAAGATAGTCAAGTGGGCCTGGCCTAGGACTGGTAGACGACCGAAATCGGGATTGATTAGGATCGGTTTGAGACTGTTAGTTAAAAACCAGTTACACTTTTCATCCAGAAATAAGGTCCGTCCAGGACCAGGACCGGTTTGGGCTCAACCCGATATTTTCCAAAAGATGTCACGTTTTTATAGCCGTTGGAACAATCATATGACCATTTATTTCATTTTTTGACCATT